TCCTTTTTAGTCTAAGACTTTTTTATTCGTTTAGTTTTTTTGTTTGTCTTTTTTGACCTTTTTGCATTGGAATGACAAAATTGCCCTCCATTTGAAAATGATACTTTTTTGACTTCTTGTTTGTATATGGGTCAAAGTTGGTAATTTGTATCAAAAGTTAAGTGTTTTGTCATTTTGTAATTTTGTGACTTTTGATAAAAAGTATGTACTTATTTAGGCTTCGTTTGGGAAGTGGGTTGGCTTTTTGACTTTTTAGCTTTTTTGGCTATTTTAGCCTGGGCTAAAAAGTTTGGTTTGGGAAGAGTTTTTTGGCTTTTTGACTTTTTTGATTTTTTTTGTGAGAGAATAGTGTAATGATTATGAGTTGGATGTGATGTTTTGTTTGTTGTGGCTAAAATAGCCTATTTTGTCTTTTGTGATTATTTTAGCCCCAATCTTGCTTGCCAAACCGACCCTTAGGATAGCCAAACTTGCCTTAGTTTTCTTTCTAGGCCAAAATATTACAAAAGGATAAAAAAGTTAAAAAGTCAAAAATCATAAAAAGACAAAAAAATATTTGTCATTCCAAAGTAAAAAAATCAAAAAAACTAAAAAAATTAAAAAAGTCAAATAAAAAAACCAAACAAATAAAAAAGTTTCGGACGAAAAAAATAAAAGAAAATCAAAAACTTAACTAAAAAAAGCCATTGTCAAATGACTCCTAAATAATTGAAGAACATAAGAAAAAATAAAAATTTGTGATTAAGCTGAAAATACGACCACATATATCTTAAGATGAACTAATCAGTTTATTTGGTTTAAGTTTTTAAAATTAAATTTTTTAAAAATTAATTTTTTTGATTTTTCGTTTTTTTGTGAAAGTAAAAATTTCTGAAAAACATTTTTAAAAAAATCAAACCAATAATTTTTTTCTATCCCGAGGCCTCCCAAGTAAAAAGTCTGTAATAATGTAGTTTTCCGTAAAATATATTTTCTATTTTACGTCCCATCAACTCCTCTCTCCTCATTTCTCTTCCCGAAAACGTTCTCCTCTCGCCAAAAATAAATAAAAGTAAATTAAACCCTGGACTAATAAGCCCAAAATCGGAAGTAACAGGGATGACTTATCTTTCCCGTGAAAGATCTTCAGCTCCTCCAGTTGCTGTGTAAAACGGTTCACCCAAAGACCCACAACCACAGAGAACCAGAGAGAAGAGAGAGAGAGAGAGAGAGTACGAGAGCGAGACCGTAATTGAAGGACTAGATTGTAGTTACGAGTGGGTGAAGTCGAAATTCATGACCAATTGAGAGGACCCAGTTGTCAAGCTAAAGCAAAAAAGCCAAAAAGTATATATCTAATCATAGACTGCAAGCAGATCGAAGAGACAACTCCGGGTAATGGATTCAGCATCAGGAGCCGGAGCCTCCGACCCGAACGAGGGTGAGGGTCCCTCATCGGCACCTGCAGCAGGAACAGCATCGGGGGAGGGTGGGTCAACGGCTGCCGCCCCACCGCTGCAGCCGCCGAGTAGGTACGAGTCACAGAAGCGCCGCGACTGGAACACGTTCCTCCAGTACCTGAAGAACCACAAGCCGCCGCTGACGCTGGCGAGGTGCAGCGGCGCTCACGTGATCGAGTTTTTGAAGTACCTGGACCAGTTCGGGAAGACGAAGGTGCACGTGACTGGTTGCCCTTACTTCGGGCACCCAAATCCTCCGGCACCGTGCGCATGCCCGCTCAAGCAGGCTTGGGGCAGCCTCGACGCGCTCATCGGCAGGCTCCGAGCCGCCTACGAAGAGAACGGAGGTCGACCCGAGTCCAACCCATTCGGAGCTAGAGCGGTCAGGATTTTCTTGAGGGAGGTGAGAGAAAGTCAGGCCAAGGCTAGAGGGATCCCTTATGAGAAGAAGAAGCGGAAAAGGCCGACAACCGTTGCGGCGGCTGTGGTGGTGGAGGAGAATGAGTCGACGATGGCGGAAGCTACTAGTACTTCTCAGGTGGGTGACGGTGGCGGTGGTGGTGGTGGGACTGCTGTTCCTAGTGTATCTTCTACTGCTGCTTCTACAACTACGACAGTATAGTTTCCACTAAAATTTCACTTTCTCTATTTTTTTTTTTTTTAAAAAAAAAAAATTAATCTGCTTTTTAATTGTGATTATGAGTTCATATATAACTGGCGATTCACATATCATTAGCGAAATTTAGTTAGAAGTTACGAATGTCTCTCTTTCTTTCTCTAGAAGAACAGACTGACTTCAAGTTCACACTATTCTCGTTTTAGAAGATGATATGTGGCTAATGTGAACAGAGATTCGAGATGGAGAAGAAAAAGTTGAAGACTTGAGGAGCCAACTTTTTCATCCGTTTGATCTTTTTTTTTTTCTTGGCTTTTGTTTGTTCAATCTAACTCACCACCAGACAGCATGACCCCACTGTTGCTACTCCAACATCATCTTCTTCTCCTTTCTTCAAACCACGCCTACATTTTACTATCGTGCCATCAACAACACTTTCTCTCTTTCCTGTCCCAGCAACTACTTTGATCAGATTCAGAAGTAGTATATGCATCAAACTCATCATTTTGGAAAATTTAAAAGAAAAAAAATAAATCAAATCAAATCAATGTTTGTAAATCTAGCATTTTATTGTTTATTTCTCTTGTCTCTTTCATCTATCAATCACCTCCACATGCAACTATGCTTTTGACTCTTAATAGTTTCACATATGATTGGGCCACATGTGTACGTTCCATTAGAGAAGATGTAATGTCCTAAGTGACCTCTCGGACTAAGTCTTAACCTTCTATTAACATATGTAGCGATCAAATTACATAAGAACTGAGTCTTAGGTAATCTCCCAGGACTAAGTCTTTGACTCTAGTCTATTTTTCTCATCTTCAAATTTGATCGGGCCAAAACCGAAACAGATTGACTATATATGAAGAGGCCTCTATATGGCACAAGAATTAGAGAAAATTAAATTAATCAACCTTATAACCTTAAGAAATTCAAGTTTCAATGAATTTCATAGAATTCCCGGAAAATCTGTTTAGTCATTTGCTGTCTTTTCTCTAGCACAAATATTACTTACTTAGTTTGCATGTGTTCCTCTTATGTTCATTGGAATGAAACAAAATAGACTATAATGATCGTTCTAATATTTAGTTTACTTAAAAATTACTTTCTAAATAAATTATAATTTGCTATATTGTGAAGTAGGAATAGTCCTACATTCTAAAACCTAATTTTCATCAACTGGTCCCCCATAGTCTTACTTCCCTATTGTGGGTTTGATGTTTTAGGAAACTGGGAGGGAGGCTTCTACCTCGGGGTAGCCATGCAGTATCTCTGTTTCCATATGCGACATACATACACACACGTACACGTGGGCCTCTTTTTTATCCCCCCCATTTTTCACTTTCCACTCTCTCTCTCTCAGTTTCAGGTGCCTCACTCATCATCTTCTTCAGATTTTTAGGGTTTGTGTTTTTTTTTTAGGTAATAAAGGTTTTGTGTTTTTGCGTCCCTTATATTGGGATATCACTCACTCTCTACTTTAATTTTTAGGCTTCTGAGTTTGGAAAAAAACATTACAAATCTAAAATTTATTGTGATTGTTGTAGACTTTGATTTCTAATCAATGTGGCAAAAAAAAAAAAAAATAAATTTGTGAGACCATATTAACCCTTGTATATTTTTACAGTTTCTCATTTGATGAGAATATTATTTGTACCACATGGAAGAGTAGGGCTTGAATTCTGGAGCAAGAATTTCTCAAGATAAATATGTTGTACTTCAGTCGTGATTTTGTCTCTTGTTGTGGGGGTTGGGTGAGGTCCATGGTTATCCCGGTAGTGGGTCTCTTCTTGTGGGTTGGTTAAATCTAACTGTCAATTAATTAGTCCGGAGATAAAGCTTACGGATGCTATGAGTATTTCTTCGCGGAATATCTTTTTCTATTAAAAAAAAAAAAAGATACTTTCAAAATATTTAATAATTTTTTTATTTAGTTTTGGTCTTTGGGATTTTTGGAATTAAGGTTGAAAATTTAAAATCTATAGATCAAATTTATTAGGGTGTAACTCAGCGCACTAAATTTATACTATACATACAAATTCTATATATATATTTGGAATTTTTTGTTAGGGGATTTGGATGAAAATGATCTTGTGCATCTCTTTCTCAGCACTAAGTTGAAATTTATACCTTCATTCAATTTATTATTATTATTTTTTTCGGTTGGGAATTGGGATGGAACTGATCTTGTGCAGCTCTCTAACTCTGTATTATGGCTGCTGGGTAATGTGAAAAAAAGTATCATTTTGTGTGTGACAACAACTACACAAAGGATATATATGGGGGGATATACAAAGCACATCAGTGAAAATGAAAAAGAAAAATAAAAATAATCCTAGTGATTGCTGCCTTTTTTTTATTTTATTTTGTTTTATTTTTGGGGGGAACCACTACCTCAGCGTGAAAAGGACATGTAGCCAACCCTTGCATCCATTCTATTCTATTTTTATTAATAATCATTGGTGTTGTTTTATAATTTTTATATATCTGCTTGTGACTTCAATTATTATACAACATAAGACCCACCAATCACTTGCAAAACCTAATTGATCAGATTAGAACAATTTCAAACCCATTTCCAATAATAATTATTCCACATTAATTGTCTACTCATGTTTGATTTGATCATCATCTTGAATAAATATCTGCTGTTGTCATTCCTTGTTTGGTTCTTCCACTGCTTGACTTTTTTTTTTTTTTTTTTTTTTTTTTGAAGTATTTTGATGCCTTCCATCAAGGGGCAATCTTTTTTCTTGGAAAAATTATACTTTACCCATTTTCATTTTTTTTTTTTTTCCATCTTGATGTTTTGATTTGTTTCAATCTCACCATTGTACTAACATTTTGTTATAAAAGATGACGGAAAAAATGATATTTGAACTGTTCATACTAATTTTTTCCCAAAATGTTCATTGAAAAAATGATTTATTTGCAAATATGTGGAAGATATCTTTCTCTCCTACGAAAAATTATATGAGAGAAAATATTGGTATATGTAGATTTCATTTGTAAAATTCCACGTTCCTCATTTTACCTAATTTTTTTCTTGTTAATTTTGATCATCTTCAAAGTTCAAAAAAAGAGAAAAAAAAAAAAAAAAAAAGTGAATGAAATTGCAAATTAGTGAAAGTGAAAATAGGCAAGTGTCTGTGTTATGGTGCAACTTGTAAGTAATACCATAACATTCAATTGTTTGTTTTCACTAATTTACAATTTTTAAAATATATATATATATATATAATTAATTTATTTAGATTAGATACATTTAAAAAAATTTAAAAATATATGTATTTTTTTATTTTTTGGTGTGGGGATACATGTAGCGGCATGCGTAGGGCAGGAGGAAGGACCAATGTGAGCAGTGTAATTAAGCGCAAAAGTAGCAATTGTCATGAGATATAGGCCCAATTTGGTAGGGTTTATTTCTGGCTTATTTTGACTTTTAGCTTAATTTAAGCTATTTTGATGTGTTTGGTTCAGTTTAACAATACAACTTATAACTTTTTGTAAGTCAAAAATAAACTTATTCTTTGAGTGAGGGAGGAGAAACTTAATTTATAAGTCAAAAATCAGCTTATGTTCACAGTTATAAACTGTAAGCTGTTAAACTATAAACTATAATCACTTTCCCACAGCTCTAACAAATAGGGCCATAAAGCCTTCGTTTTGGGATGTTAATTGATTTTTTGATTTTGATTTTATTTTTTTATTATTTTAATTTAAGTTTAAAAAATTTTATTTGGGGTGAGTTTTTTTAATTTTTTTACTTTTATGAGAGAAAAAATAAAATGATTATAGTTTAGATGTGACATTTTATCTTATTGATTTTTTAACTTATTTTGTCTTTTTTTGGCTAAAATAATTGTCATTAGGCAATAACTTTTTTGCTTAAATAAGTACAAAAAGATAAAATAAGCTAAACATATTAATAAGACAAAATATTACATCTAAACTATAATTATTTCATTTTTTTTTTTACAACCATTATATTCAAACTAAAAAAATCAAAAATTCTTTTTAAACGAAATTAATTTAGTAAGTTTGAATTAGTCAAAAAAACTAAAAAGACACGCTAAATAGCTCTTCTCAAACAAAGCCATAGTTGCCGTTTGGCAACTTGGTTTGAGACTAAATAACCACAAAACAAAAAATAAATTAAATAAATTAATAAGATAAATATCGCGTTTAAATCATAATAATTTTTTTTTCTCACAAATATTACATCTAAATAAAAAAAAAATTAAAAAAAATTCTAAATAAAATTAATTTAGTTAGGCTAAATTAATTAAAAAAATAAGTTGAATTAATTATTCCCAAACGAAGTTATAATAGAGAGATATATTCAGGAAAGAGAATTTTTTTTTTTTTTCAACAAAGAAAAGATAAAATCCTATATTAAAAAGTGGGCTAAAAATCTTTTCTCAATTTTTGATCCCCTTCCTCTCTTATGAAAAAAATTAAAAAATTAATTTTTAACCACCTTTTTAAAACACTACAAAGTCTTGAGTGAGCGAATGAATGAACCACTGGCTTTTTGTCGTCACATACCCCATTCATTCATGAGTCCTCTCTTTCAAGCAACCAGCCACTGGGGGTATTACTTCATTTATATAGGAGAGAGAGAGAATACGGATAGTGAAATAAATATGAGAAATTACATGAAAAACTACCACTCCGTTTGTTTTTAACTTTCAGAATTTACTTTTTAGAAATATTTTTTCATTTTTTATATTTTTCTGTTTTCACTGAATTTTTTTAATTTTTAGACATACCTAATATAAATATACTTAGAATCTGTGAAAAAATCACTAAATACCAAAAATATCAAAATTCAGTATATTTTTTTATATTTTTGTGTATTTATTAAGTTTTTAAAATATTTTTCACAAATAATTTAGGGAAAATCGGTTTAAGATCCCTATCCAACTTTTAGTAATGGATTAGGTCCACAATGTGTTCTTTTGTAGCTTAAGGTCCCTCAATGTTATTTTAGAGTGTGAAATACCTGTCTTAATTTTTTTAATTTTTAGACACACTTAATATAAATATACTTTGAATCTGTGAAAAAATCACTAAATATCAAAAATATCAAAATTCAGTATATTTTTTATATTTTTGTGTATTTATTAAGTTTTTAAAATATTTTTCACAAATAATTTACTATTTAGATACATCTAAGTAAGGTATATCTAAAAAAGTAAAAAAAATGCTTAAAATTTAAAAAATATTTACTAAAAACAAAAAAATATGAAAAATAAAAAATTTAATTTTTAAAAAATTGAATTCAGAAAACTAAAACCAAACACACTGAATTTTATTTGTATGATGATATAAATTTTGGTGTGTACGGTATACTTTTTTTTTTAATTTTATGTTTGGGACATATATTGTGTTAAATTTGTAATTCAAAAAAAAATTCACCTATAATATAATTATTTTTAAACAGTTCTACTTATTTGTAATTTTTCCTGAGGTAACAGTGCTACGATATTTTATAGTATAATATCATCACTTAATATAAAAAATTACA